GGGGATAGGGGAGTAGAGAAACCTATCAACAGGGTGTCCATCCAGCTTCTACACCTTGTTATCCCAGTTTTACTGCTTTTTTTTAGTGGTTAAGAGAGAAAGAATTCTCCAGGACAGAAACATTGTCTCTCCAAAATTTAAATTCAAAGTTAAGTAAGTGCTGGGATTAGAATAGTTAGTTCCTTTTTTTGACCAGCACCAACTCAATGGGCAGAAAGGCTTTTTGTGGTCGGTGGACATCTATGACTGAATTTCTGTTAGGCCTTTGCAGCTAGGGCATTATTGTTGGAAGATGGGGATAGGGGAGTAGAGAAACCTATCAACAGGGTGCCCTGCATTTCCAGCTGAATTCAGGCAGGCAGGTAGGGTGTCTGAAATTGTATTGTTATGTCCCACACATTCCCCCAGCACTGCCGCCAGAAGGCTGCCTCAGGGCAGCATAACTGCTCCCTGGTGCTGACAGGGAACCGTTTTGGACAGTTGACCTTAAGTTCATTAATTGCAATTCACCAGCAGGTAGCCCCAGTAACCCATCCTCCCCCTACCCACACCTTTGGGTATATGGTCAAGGTTAGAAAATCTGTGTTTGGCTGCGTCTATGCCTGCTGCCATCAGAGACTAAGAATTCAGTCTGGACCCCATGAGTATCTTCTAATCTGGTTGGTTTAATTAACTGGCATTGAATCCTGAGGCAGTTCTGGATGCCTTGTGGCCTTGGTTTTGCCAACCACATCTATATTAATGGAGTTGAGGCATGTGGGACATGCTGCCATAAGAGATTATGTATTGCAGATAAACTATGAGGTTAGATTCATCGGTAACAAATTGGCAGCAATTATTTATGGCAATGGAGTTCTGAAAATATAGAAAACTTGGTTGGATGTAAAAGAGAAACAAAATTAAAGATGGGCAATAAATGCTGGTTTATCGAGCAATGCCTACATTCATAGATAGAAATTCATAGAATCTCCACAGTGTGTAAGCAAGCCATTTGGCCCATTGACTCCACACTAACCCTCTAAAGAGCATCCCTCCCTGACCCAACCATCCCTTAAACTCTGCATTTTCCATGGCTAATTCACTGAGCCTGCACATCCCTGGACATTATGGCAATTTAGCCTGGCCAATCCACCTAACCTACACATCTTTGGACTGTGGGAGGAAACCGGAGCACCAGGAGGAAACACATGCTGACATGGGGAGAACATGTAAACTCCACACAGACAGTTGCCCAACGCTGGAATTGAACCTGGGTCACTGGCGCTGAGAGGCAGCAGAGCTAACCACTGAGTCACTGTGTGCTCCCATTCCATGGATGAATTTTAGAAAAAGAATGTTTTTGCATATTTATGTAGTGTAATGAGGATGAAGATAATGACACAATTGTCACAGTGAATTATTGACGGACTTGACTCTATGATAGTTTTCCTGGTCTTTGGAGACTGGTGAGAATAATCTGCAGGCTCTTTGGTAGTTGGATCCCAGGAACTCCTGGCATGGAGGGGCTCTGATTTGAGGAGACAGTATACTTTGCTTGCATTTGTCTTCAGCAGCCTCATAAGTACTTGTTTCAAACTTCTGGCTCGGTTTCCCAGTTGTTGTGTGCTAACTGTTCCTATCAGCAACTTCCTGTGTCCATACTCATTACTAACATTGACGTACGACACTTTGATGTTTATGCTGTTGTTATGATCCCGGCTAATGTTGTTACCAGGTAAGTCACACCCCAGACTGGTACCTCGTAGTAGTTGACTCTAATAGAAGCTGTTTCTGTATTTCACTCAGATGGTGTACCATTCACATGGTGGATTGGAGGAACCAATGACAAACAAGTTTACTGGGGTGGTTCATCACCAGGAGTTCAAAAATGTGCCTGTGGATTAGAAGGGGACTGTTTAAATACAAACTATGACTGTAACTGTGATGCTGATAATGATGAATGGTAAGTCAGATTTTAATTTGAGAAACACACTGCGGACTGTTGTATTTTTCTGGAATGACAAATACCAGTTTAAATGTATTTCTGGAGGGACAGACATGTTGTCCAAACTTGCATGCATCAGATCTAATGCAAGAATCTCAAATTTCAAACAACTACAGAAATTCTTTCCAGAGGAGAAAGGTATGTTGCTTGGTTGGCAAGTCAACTATAGTTAGTCAAATTATCACCATGAAGAAACCAATGGAGAAGTATTGGCTCTCATGTAATTAAAATAGGCACAAGTTTTGAACATATTCCCTTGTTTTCAGACAACAGATCCTTGGCAATGAATGTATATCACTGGTATTAAATGTAAATGAACCACAGTGTAAGGTGAACTGATTATTATAGATTAATTGTTAGTTTGGCTATTATCCCACTGTGGGTAATTCAGCAAGTGCTGCATAATTTTGGAATCTCTTGGAAACACAGTTAACAGTAAATGTTTCATTTGGGTTTTGCAAGCGCAAGGTGGTTGAGTACAGTTTGAACTCTGCCTATTCGGAACAACCAGAGGGACATATTTGATTCAATCAGCCGGTCACTGGGAGATACAGCTCATGTAACTGGTATTGCATTGGCACCATCACTACTGAGACAAATAGTTACAAATTTAGTAATTTGTCAATGGTTTAACATTGAAACTACAAATGTGATAAGATATGTTATGGCCTTGGATCTATAAATGTGTCTAATATGAACAGAGCTCATTAGAAAGAGGGGCAGGAGTAGATCATACAATCCATCAAGTCTGCACAATATGGTCATGGCTTCAACTTCACTTCCTTGTACAGTCTCTAAATCCCTTGATTCCCTGAGACCCCAAGATTCTGTTGGTCTTCACCTTAAACACAGTGGTGGCATACTGAAAGTAATTTGAGGTAGAAAATTTCAAAGGTTCATAATACCTTGAAGAAAAAAATCAATTCTCCACATCTAAGTTCTAAATGGTCAGCCACTAGTCTTGAGGCTCTGCCATCATGTTCTAGATTCCCCAGCCAAGGGAAAAAATATTCTCAGTCCTGCCCTGTCAAGCCCATCGGACACTGATATGTTTCAATAAGAATACTTCCATTGGTTAATGGACTAGATAGAAAACTTGCCGGTCTTAAGTACAGAAATGCAAATAATTCTGTTATTTGTTGGATGTGAATGAAGGGTGTCATGCAACCTCAGTAAGTTGTGACATATAGAACTGCCTATCCCAGGAACAACACATATGTCTGCATAGCAGTGCAAAACCAATACTATACCTCTTTTCTCTACCAAAATGTCCTCATAATTTTGTGCCATTCTTAAATGTGCTGATTTTATTGGGTGGTGAATTAATCATTACTAACTACCACCAGACTTGATGGATTGTATGATCTACTCCTGCCCCTCTTTCTAATGAGTTCTGTTCATATTAGACACATTTATAGATCCAAGACCATAACATATCTTATCACATTTGTAGTTTCAATGTTAAACCATTGACAAATTACTAAATTTGTAACTATTTGTCTCACTGTTATGCTAACTCCTTATCTCATTTTGACTGAGTTGATTAAGAAATCAGTAGAGTCCTTGGTCCTTGCCTCATGAATTCCCCAGAACTGTCCATTCTTTTCAGGGAATGAAGAGGCAAGCGTGCAACATAAACTATGGTATTCCAATCATGGAGGGCATAGATAAGGTGAATAGCAAGGGTCTTTTCCCTAGGGTGGGGGGTTCAAAATTCGATTGCATATTTTTTAAGGTGAGATGAGAAAGTTTTAAAAAGGACATGAGGAGCAACTTTTGTACACAGAGAGTGGTTCATGTGTAGAATGAACTGCCGGAGGAAGTGGAGGATGCAGGTGCAGTTACAATGTTTAAAAGACATTTGGATAAGTACATGAATAGGAGAATATTTAGAGGGATGTGGGCCAAATGCAGGCAAGTGGAACTAGTTTAGTTTGGGAACTGGGTCGGCGTGGACTCGTTGGACTGAAGGGTCTGTTTCTGTGCTGTATGACTCTATGGTTCTATGAAATTCTTTTTAGAAATGATAGAGACTAGTAAGACTGGATGGCCTATTTTACTGACTGATTTTTATGCATATCATATAACCCTATCTAACTCATTACCTCTGGGAACAAGCACAAAAGCAGTTTTCAGGTAGCGGGTGGGTTGAGAAGGTAGAAGAGTTTTTCTTTATTTGGGGACGTTGATAGTTGAACTTAGTACTTTGCAGATATTGAAATAAGATTTCAAAATGTCATAAACAACCCTGGCTTTGTGAAATGTTCACTTCTATGCATTGATAATTGCCAAATAGGAAACAGAGATAGTGCTCAATTCCCTTACATGCTAGAGGGGAATTGAGCACAATTGTGAAAGCTTTCCTACACTGCTGTGGTTGCATGTGTCGTGACCTTCATTTTCCAGAGAAATGAATATCCTCATGTGGAACTGTGGCATGTTAAAATGTCAATAGTTGACTGTTGCATTCAATGTCATGTCTCTAGGTGTCTCCTCAGTCGTAGTCCCTATAATACACTCCACCAATGATTAACTATCATTGTTTCTGATAAGTTTCGAGCAAAGCGGTGTGAGCAGTTTTGAGGAGTTCCTGGAGGAAGTGCACTGCATAACCATAACATTGGTGGTATTGTTCTGAAAGAAAAATTGACAGCCTGTAATTCATTGATGCAGGAGATTAAAATTAATATTTGTCCCATAATAAAGGATGTCTCTGTGGATCAACATCATTCTATTACTAGATTGAGGCTCATAATCTTCACAGTACAGTCAGTATTGAACCTAAACCCCAATTGTCTGGGCAGGAGCAGTTTCTGAGTAATTACTAAATATTTCGTTCTATTTTTCATTAGAGTTTACTTTTGATTGGTCAACAATAAGTATTTTTATTAACCATGGTGCTAATAAATTTTTGTGATTATAACAATTTATTTGTCAAGATCAAATACATTCCAAACATTTTTGCCTTCCAGTTAACATTAAAAGTTATGCTTTTCATTTTTCCTAAGTTAAATTAGTTGATTGTCCATATTAATATTTTACTAAATAACATAACATTAAGTAAGTATTTAACTCAATTAAATGCTATACAAGATAGTTTTAGCATTTAATATTTTTGTGAAATTTACTAAGTAGTTATTTTAGAATGTTGATTTATATAGGCTGACATGTAATGTGCTAAATATTTAACTAAATTATCTCTGATTCATAGTCAAGTAAAATTGGATGTATAATGGCTTAGACGTCCACTGAAACAAAGTGCTAATTTCAAGAAAGTGCTGATTTTGAATGATCATTTATTGAATGAGATTTGACAAATCATTTTTATATTAAATGACCTTCAAAAATCTGTCTTGATTGCATTGTGTTTAATTATTCTAGTAGTTAATAATGATTTTTTAATATTAATTTAGCAATGTTTTATATTTTTCATGATATGGAATGCTCTACATTGCATTAATAGTAATCCTGCCATTCCAACCCCAAGGAATTTCCTTCTGTTTTTTTTTCTGCTGTGACTACTACAGAATTCCAATCTGTATATATGAATATGTTTCAATATATTGTGTAATATATTTCATAAATATTCATTCATTGTATTAAAAATTACACTACAATATTTGAACTTCTAATTTTAACTTGTTTTCGATTTTGTTTTGAAATTCAATTCCTAATTATTTTTTGCTACCAGAAGATTGGAAAATTACAAACGTAGTTCAAGAAACATGTCCAAAAGCGGGAAACTGCAGGCTTGTAAGTCTTACATCTGTCACAGTGAAAATGATAGCATCTATTATTAAAGAGATAGAAAATCAACATAGTCAGGCCAAGTCAACATGCTGCAATTGTGTGCTGACTGTCAGGAGGCCTGTATAGCACTCCCACAAATCTTCTGAAGAAGGGTCATAAAGCCATAGAGCTGTGCAGCATGGAAACAGACCCTTCAGCCCAACTCATCCATGCTGACCAGATATCCTAAAGTAATCTAGTCCCATTTGTCAGTATTTGGCCCATATCCCTCTAAGCCCTTCCTATTCATATTCCCATCCAGATGCTTTTTAAACCATTGGATCTGAAACATTAACTCTGCTTTCTCTCTGCAGATGCGACCAGACCTGCTGAATTTCTTCAGCAATTACAGATTTTCTTTCCTATACCAATCTATACTCTGCATTCATCCCTTTCAATTGATTTGTCCTATTCCAGTTTACATGTGGTTTAAGTAATAGAGCAGAGATCACAATTTTTGAGACTCTGTGTCTTAATTTGGCATCTATTGTCACATACTAACTGCACAGAATCTCTGTCTTTGGTCTGTTTATCTAATTGATATCTTCATGGACCATGATCAGTAGATCATCCCCTTCCCACTGAAAATTTCTCTTCAGCTCTGAGCAGATGTTCCAGAGCTGGCACCAGGCAACACAACCATCTGGGTCCAGGCTTTTTGCTGTAACAAACAATGTCAATACCCCTTACTGAACTGCATTCCCTAGAATGTAGCTTAGAAAGGGTTTACTCCACTGATTGGGATCTCCCATTTAAGAGTGAAATGAAGAGTTTTTTTTTCCCCTCTCAGATGTTTGATAGTATTTAGAATTCTCTTCCCCAGAGAACAGTGCGGACTGGGTCATTGAATATATTTGAGACTGTGCTTGGATGTATTTTTAATCAACAGTTGTATCCAGGATTATTGAAGGTGGGCAGGAAAGTGAATCTACAGTCAGATCAGCTGTAATCTTATTGAATGATGGAGTAGACGCAATAGGCCATATAGCCTACTCCTGCTCCTAATTAGTGTGTGTCTTTACATTTTTGCACCATAAATCATTTAGTTCATTTTTCTTAATTTATAAACAATATCTCCAGCATATCCATCTAATTATATAATACAATAACATACTCATGTGCTCCTTTTAATCAAACAAAATACACACTAATGTAAAGAAACCTTGCAT